AATAGGCTCATTTTGACAAGTTAATTAACATCTATTTAAATATGACTTGGCTGGATAAAAAAGTTTCAGTATTACGTAACACTAATAAAGTAATACTAGCTAATCAAATCGCAGCTAAAGTTAATTAGGATGATAATTCATTATATTTTTATCAAATTAAAAGTAACCTAACTTCTATTTTTTGGGGGTGTGTGTGTATTTTTGTGTGTTTGTGAAAGCTTATTATTAATATTCAGTTTGGAATAGGTTACTTCGATGTCTAAATTAACTGTGATGAAAACGTTTTTGAAGTGAAAAATGCACTTGTGTTTTGATTGCTGCCAAATGTATGAAGTCCTTGCTATTCAGTATTTTTCCTTTACTAAAAATAGGAAAGTCTTTTGACATTAGGACTGACGAAATAGTGATATTCTTTTTGTTAATGCCTAGTAGTTGCCAGGAAAATATTTTGAATGAAAAGATGACATTTGTGTTATTGTTTATTATTTTATTAATATGAATATAGTCTTTGAAATATAATACTTTATTATATATGAACCAAATCATTCTTCCCTTTAAAAATCTTTGTAGCATACTCTGGCAAAATTCAGGGCAAGCATTTTAAAATATGGTGTATTTTGCAGGACAGAGAATATACCAGCAGACGTTTCTAAAAAAGCAGAGGGATGTGTGTGATAACTGCACATCACTTAAAATAATTGTGTGGTTAATTTAAATGGGCTGCTTACACACTGGCAGTGTGAAATAGCTTTTGCTCCATTCTTGGAAAAAAAAAAAACTGTAGGAAATGGAAATTCTGTAGCTTTCTTTATTTTGCATCTCTTTTATTTCCATCTGGCAGGTGAAATTCAGAGGGAATACACCTGCTATAGTCCTATTTCTGACATATATATGGTTCCTAGTTGACATCAATGATCCCCTTTCATTTCCCCTCCTAAGTAGTGTTGTCAATACGATTTTAAATAGGAGCTCATTGGCAAATAATCATAGATTTGATCTCAGCCTAAGAAGATCTTACTTGACAGATTTTACTTGACATTCCTTATGCTTTTGGCAGTTTTTCTCTTAATTTTTTTTTTTTTAATTTTCTTTTTCTTCTTCAGCTCAGGTACCTGACAATGATGAGCAGTTTGTACCAGACTATCAGGCTGAAAGTTGTAAGTATAGTATGACTCATCTCTTGTATTTTTCTGTCTTTCTGGTTTCCTTCTTTCCTTCTTTCTCTTTGGTTGGTTTTCACGTCCAGTGTCTTGTCTTACATTGTACAAGCGCCTTTTTAACTTACAGCCATAAGGTGATTTGATTTGTCAGGTTGTGACATCAGCAGAAACTCTATTTTGAGCAGAATCCCTGAATTCTGTATATTGGAAGAGAACTCCAAATAGTAGGCAAGGAAAACTGAGTTGATTGAAAGATGGTCTTGTTCTTCGTATCGGTAAATATCTTTGGGAGGAAATAGGGTGTGATCCATGAACATGCACATGTTTACTTCCAGTTTGCCAATATGCTTATAGAGAAATGCCTGGATGTTGATGGGAGATAGAGTTAAAAACTACTTGAGATTAGTTATTGTATAATTTATAAAAGATTCTGGAGCAAACATTCATTGGCTTATTGTAGTATTTTAAATTCATGAATTGTCATCTGCTTTTATTTAATTTTTAACCTGAAATTTTCTGCTTCCTGGTTGCAGTAGCACAAATAGAAACAGCCATTGGCTTCTCTCAGGGTTCCTCCTTCCATGCTCCTTTCCCTGAGCCTTGCTCCCAGGTCTGTCAGAGAATGCATGAGGAGTTATTCATGGAATACTCACTGTCCCTTAATTGCAGAGTGAGCATTTTGCCTGTACAAACGTGGTTGCCTCGGGGTTTACTGCTGATGTTTATAATTTGCCATTCTACCAGCTAACTGCCGCTACTGACCAAAGGAGCAAATAGTAAGGAAAAGGGTATAAATGCCATCTTATTTATGAAACTGGCCTAATGCATTTTTATTCTGTTGGTGACATCTAAATTTGTTTTATTTTTTCAGATCATTGATAGTATGAGAGGAGGCAATATCGGTAGTAACAAGAGATGCTTGATGTCTTACAGCTTATGAAACCCATATGTTCACACCTTTATATCATAAATCTAATACAAATACCTGCATTACTTCAAGTAACAGATGTTTGTGGGCAATATTTTCAGCATTTATGTTTGGTATATTAAATTTCTCAGGCGTAGAGGGTTGTGCAAGGTTTTGTCCAGATTCTTTAACATGTTACATGTTTTAGCTCAGCTTGGTTATAAAGAAATCACTGTGGTAAAATCTACGTACAATAAAATTTACCATTTTAACTATTTTTAAGTTTGTAGGTCAGTGGCATTAAGTACATTCACATTGTTGTACAACCTTCACCACTATTCAACTTCAGAACTTTTTTATATCCCAAGCTGAAGTTCTGTACCTGTAAAACAATAACTCCCATTTCTCTGCCCTCAGTCCCTGATAACCGCTGTTCTATTAGCTTTATTTTTGATCCAAGAAGAAGACTGTATAATGCTATTTGATGTCTAAATGCAGGTATTTGACATAGGCTTTCAAGAAACTTACTCAGCAAATATATAGAACTTAATTAGACACCCTTAGAAACACTCCCAGCAGAGGATGGCTCACACAAGTCCTCCCCTTCTTGATTAAAGTCTGGGAAGAGAATGGTCATATTCCAACATTTCCCTGCCTGTGAGCAGTTGAATTCTTCTTTCTAAAAGCTAACCACGTTGTCTGAGTGAAAGAATTAAACTTGTTGATATTTTACATCTAAAGTAATTGGTAACAATTCCATTACTATAGCAATTGTCAGGGTAAAATGAACCACCTAGAGGTAATTTTTTACTACTTTTCTTATTTGACCTCTTTTCAGCTTTTCTTATTGTTGAATATTTAATCTCTTTGAACTCTTCTTAAGGTCACGCGGGCATGATTTTCTTCGTTTTTTTTTTTTTTTTTTTTTTTTTTTTTTTT